TCAGATCTCTCGTGGTCACATCTGGGAAGTATATATCCACAGACCCTCTGGAAAAAGACTGCAGCATTGGTGCATAGCGGTCTTTATTTATTTGTTATGTATTCATTGTTTGTACCATTTATATATTGTTCTTTTCTTCTGCCTCAACCTACATCTCATATCCTCAGTTGGGTTGTGTATCACTTGCTTGTAAAACAGAAAACAAAACTGCCTTTTAAAGGGCTCATGTGATGCCCATTTGAAGATGGCTCCCTAGATGACTTAGGCTGAGTTTTGTAGTATTTCACAGATGTGCTGGTAGCATGCTCTTGGACCTGTGAAGAGTGTAACCAACTGCAGACTTTAGCATTAGACTTGAGCTTACCTAGAGCCTTCACAATGTACAGCAGTGCATTTTTCACGCTCCTGCTACAGATCAGCATGATGCTGTCACATCAGTCTTTCCACTGGTGCTTAAAAGCTCTCTGAACTTAAATAAGCTCCTACTTGAGCAGGATAAACTCTGAGGTCTTTACTGTAGATTTGCTAACATTCTGTCTGCCTTACTAACTTGTGTGATTCCAGGCTCTTTGCTCATTATGTGGGTCTTTGTCACTGTTGCCACACATTCTCTACTGTCACTGCCTTTTGTGTTCCTTATTCCACTCTGGTCCTTTCCTGAGACCTGCACTATAGCAGTGGTCCTGCCCCTGTGGGCACTGACTGCACTTACTGGATGTAGTACTTCGATGACAGGCTTTTTGTGTCTGTGTATGACCTGCACAGTCACCACCAGGGGCAGCACCACACATGTTGTTTATCTAATACATACCTCAGACTTGCAGTTACAACTCTTAAAATTAGGGTGAATCATTGACAGCTTACCCTATACTATTCTTGAGTGCTTGCCCAGGGAAGGCTTCTTGTATCAGGTAAACTGGACTGGTTCCCCTGTTTCAAGCCATGTGTTGAATTACAGAAGACTTTGCCCTGGATTATTTTCCAAACTGAAATTTATGGGAAAAATTATTTCTGTTTACCAAATATGTATTGACTTTCTAATTCCATGGGGCATTAAAGATAACATGTACATTTTTTTTTTTTGTCATCCTAGGAGATTAAAATTTACCCTCCCTATACCATTTAGAGACGTTCTCTTTACATTTCTTTTCTCATTTTTCTTTCCAGGTAGAAGGGTTTTGAGAAAACTTCAGTGATTGCTTAGTTCCCTCCCAGGCCTTGGTACAAACTCTCAGCTAGCTCCTAATTTACAAAGTTTTGCTAGCATGCTTTTGCTTACTCCGTCCATATTGAAGCCAGTTTCCTATTGCTTGTCATGTGTACTCTGTTACTTCCCAAAGTTCTGGAAAGTGCTTGGTGATGTGTACTGTTTCTCTGTGGCTGAGTAGGGAGTTGGAGAAGTGATGGGAGCCAGTGTGAGCCATCCCTAGCACACCACCTCTCATAGCAGAGCTAGTATAGGAGCTGTCTCTAGGAAAGTCCATGGCCTCTGGAATTTTGCAGCTTTTAGTAGGAGTTTTCCCCTCAAGATCACTAATTACTTTTTTTAATTTATTATAAAAAACATCAGAGATAAATAAAAAAATTACATACCAAAGACCCACTAATTTAAGTGTGAAGATGAAAATGTGCTTCTTGCATGGATACTCTTCATAAGTCAATGTGAGAAGAGGTTGCTTTGTGAACTCTTTCTTCCCAGCCTGTAAGCAAGGCTGTTTTTATGATAGCAACTAAGAACACCCCGCCCCTCTTTTGAAACTTTAGGAGCAGGCACTGTTGACAGCTGCAGCTCATTGGTGAGAGTAGTCTTGAGCAGGTTTCTGTATTCATCCTGGCACTGAGTGTGCCTCCTGGAACCCTTAGATCGCTGCAGCATTGCACATGCACCTGCCTTCAGACAGGAGCACTGAACACATCTAAGCTTTGTTTAAGGTAATTTAAGAGTTGTCATGTTTAGGTAGTCATCTGTAATGCAGGGGTCAGCACACTTTCCATGAAGTGCCATATAGTGAATGTTGTAGGTGTTGTGGGCCAGGTCTGTGTTATAAGTACTGTTTTGCCTTTGTCCTGTGAAGCAGCCAAAAGCAGCACAAGAATAAAACTTTTTTATAAAGCAAGGAACTGTGGTTTACCATCCCAAGGAGCCCTATATGCATCCCTCCCCCTTCCTTTGTCTCATCCTCACTAAATTCAAAGGCTGGATGTTTTACTCCTGGCTGCATTGGTGAGAGTCCAATTGCTAGAGAAGGGCTGTTGTGGGGGTTGGGAGAGATAGGTGGGTGATTGGGTAAGAGATAGTCAGGTAGGTAGATAGGTAGAAATGGAAATAGAGATAAAATTGGCAGATGGTACTAGCATAGCCACAGTGTCCTAGTCCTGCAGCCCTTTATTCTTTTCTTACTATGATTGTCTCTGCCCCTTCCCAAGAAATCCTACAGTGTGACTTGACTTGCTTGTTATTAGGTGGTTTTTGAGTATAACTACATACAAGTATGAATGAATTATGAATGGTGCAGCTTGTCACTTTCTGTAGCATTGTTTTGAGAGTCCTTTTTTCAAATAAATTGGTTGGGGTGGCACAATATGAGGTTAAGCATAAAGATTTGGTTACTGTACAGGAAGATATTTTCTGTCTGTAGTGGAAATTAGTTCAGTTATTTTAGTCATATAATTGAGAACAAAGGGGACAAAAGTTGATTATTCAGTATCTTAGATTGTGATAAGGCAGTTGGTAAACTCTCATGGAAGGAACTGTAGATAATGTCATTTGTTTCTCATTAGAATGCAATTAGGGACAACATTATGAATCTTTAATTCAATGTTGCTACTTGTTCTGTGTCACTATAACATATTTACATTAATGAAAGTATGTAGAAACGGGGACAGAAGGCCTTTGTGGCTGGGTTCCACATTCCTGGATTGCCAACTCTTGATGGCAAATCTTCTAAAAACATGGTAGCGAACACACAGAGTTTTGTTCTTGTCCTTACTCCCTGAGCAATACCATGCAGTGACACAAGCATTTTCATTGTATTAGGTACTTCAAGCCATTGAAGATGCTCCAAATATTGAATGTGAAATGTCCCACTGTTATTCATAAGGAACTTTAGCATCCATTCATAGGGTCTGGGAATCGATCCCCCATGGGTGTTGGGGGACACTTAATACATTTCACATTTATTTCTGTTTTTAAAGTCTTAGAGCATGGAATTGATTTAACCTTTTTTTGGTGCCAACTCCCTCATCTCTGTCATAGAGAAATCGTCTGCCTTCTTCTCATGTATACTCTCTAAAGAATCAGTCAGGACAAGCACCGAGAAGCCACCAATCCCAAATTATACTGTTCTCTGTGTGTCAAAGGACAGCTGTGCAGTTCTGTGATTACATTCTGCCTGTGTGTACCCACACGGTCCTCATCTTTCAACTCAACAGAGTACTTGACCAGATTGAATGACTGGTTTCAGCACTGCTCAGAGCCGCTTGAGTTCTGCTGCTGCTGGTTTTCTGTTGGGAGTATCACCTACTCACATTAAAAACTAAGCTACAGAATGTTGGGCTTTCTAGAGGAATAGAGTTGATGAGCTGGTTTATTGGTTGGTTTGTTTTGTTGTTGATCTAACCTAGGGTCTTTGTGTATGCTCTAACACCGAGCTGTGTCCCCAGCTATTGCATTTTAGGGACAGTCTCACCGTGTATTCAGGCTGATCTTGTACTCTGGGTCCTTCTGCCTCTGCCTCCGAAGTACTGGGTTACAGCACCACATCTGATTCAGTCATTTGCTTTGCTTTCCACTCATATCACTGGTTTTATTCCTTTTCAGTAAACCAAGGACTTTATTCAGCACTTTCTTTGTATCCACCTACCATATACTTGGTACTGTCCTATGCACTAAAATTTCAGCACTGAACAAAAAGTCTGTTTTCTGCCACCATTGGATGTATACTCCTAGCTGGGAGGCAAGAATTTACTTAAAAAGCAAACGTGATCAAATTATAGCTGTGATGAGCACTGAAATTGCAAGTCTATGGTTCTGTGATAAGGGAGATTTATCTAGGCAGGGAGATTATTTTAAGCATTCTTGAGCATAGCCACTGTCTCAAAGAAAAAAAAAAATCTTCCAAGAGAGAGGGGCATGTTCAAAGACCCATAAATGGAAGCAGTGTGGTATACAAAAGGGATTCATAGAAGGCCATTGTGGGTAAATTGGAGAGGATGAGGAAGACAGCTGAGCAGGAGTTGGCATTCAGGGCCTTAAGCCCATGTGAAAGAGGCTTGTATTCAGGATGGAAATTTTCTCAAGTGATTTGAGCCAGGAATTTGACATGAGCATATGAATTAAATCCTCAGATAAATATTAGGGGTTGTTCTTAAAATTAGCCTCATGAATTTTTAGGATTGTTGAGTAAAATTTATTTATCATCACTCAGATTTATTGTTAACATTTTTGTTAGAGAAGACTGTTGAAACTAAAGTTCCATTCTTCATGAGATAGGTGTTATGGATTGTCAGCAAGAGGTTCTGGTCATCACTATGAAAACAGTTTTCAGGTAATAGGAGGTGTAAGTATCTTGATTCCCTGCCATGACACTTAAAATGTGCCTGTCCAAGCTTTCAATTCCTTTTTGAGAAATTGCTTCTGTAGGTGTTTCCAAATTTGCTTTTTCTAATCCCCCCTTCTAACCCAACTTTATGTTAAAGTTTTATTGTTTACTCAGTTACAATTTGGAGTATATTTAAAGCAGTTTTATCTGCTGGCTCAGTCATCTCAAACTCCAGAGCTTCTTGGACTCATTCTATACCATACCCATCAAGGACACAAAGCACTCCCGATGCCCACGAATGCCAACAGCCAGGGGCCGCTCCTCTTCACAACTCCTTCAAATGCCACCAGTCATGAAGTCCTCCAGCAAGGGCACACAGTGGTTTGGGTTTTCTTGGCATATTTGTGGCTCACTGTGATTTTTCTTTCCTTTTCTTTCTTTCTTTTTTTTCTTTTTTAGGAGAAATTGTTGTAAATGAAGTCAATTTTGTGAGAAAATGCATTGCAACAGACACAAGCCAGTATGATTTGTGGGGAAAGTTGATATGCAGTAACTTCAAAATCTCCTTCATTACAGATGATCCAATGCCATTACAGGTATTTATTTGTATACTGTTTAGTTTTGTTAAGGCCTTAACTCTAAGCAGAATATATTGTTATGTAAATAAGAGATATGGGAAATTGTGAAAAATTATCAGTAAATTGATGATATTGAAAATATACTCTATAAGAGTTGATAGACTTAAAAAAGAGGACATATGTGTGTGTAAGGGGTGGTAGATCTGGGAAGAGTTGGGAGGGATGAATAGGATCAAAATACATTGTACACAATTCTCAAAAACTAACAAAAATAATTTTAAAAATCAAAATTAAGTGGAGAAGAATGTCACAACCTGCTTGAGGAATAGTGAGTGGAGTTTGTGAGTTTTGGTTTGTTTTCTTTTGGTGTAATGTTATACACCAAACTAGTTCTTTATATGTGCTCTGCTATTGAGCTAAGTCCCCAGTCCAGAGTCTCACTGTGCAACTTAGGCTGGCTTTGAACTCCTGATCTTCCTGCCTCTGCTTCCCTGAGTGATTGGTTACAACTCACACTAGGCTTAGTGAGATGATTTTAAGAACTCTGCTTCATTTATCCTTTGGAATATCCTGATCTTATATTCTCTTCAGTAAGGGAGTTATTTTCTTTCCTCCATTTTTAGAAATGTGTTTATAAAAACATATTCTTTTTGACTAATCATGAAGAGAAAATTTCAGTTATTTAGCTTAAATATTATAAATGTCAAACATTTTACTGATTTATTTGTTTGTTTTGTAATTAATTAGCTCTTTTCCCAGAAACTTGAATTCTACTTTTTAGTGTATAGTAAGAGTGAAAAAATATTGACTAAATTGTTTCTTTAATAACACAAACATTTCTTTGAGAGATCTTTGTGTAAGTATATTTTATTTCATGTAGTCATTCACTAATTTCCAATATTTTCTGCATATTCTTGTGTGCATTAATCTTCTGAATTATATTTACACTAAATTGAAGGCATTAACAAAGCAGGGAGACAAGCACACTTGTGTTTCCCCTTTGTTTTTGGCTTCATTGAATGCTCTCTGACCCAGACATACTGAGCAGGAGAAACCTTAAGTCCAGAACCGGTGGCAGACCAGGGCCTTGCTGACAGCTGTGTTTCAGTTTGGAAATGATCGGGAAGTATTTTCTAGGTGTGAACAGTGGGCTGTCACTCACCAAAAGCCTTCTCTACTGCGTTCTCCTTCATTCTCTCTGCCCCCTTCTGTCCTTTCACAGGGTCTGGGATACGCCAGGCTGGCCTCACACTCCACATGTAGTTGAGAATGAACTTGAACTTCTGATCCTCTTGCCTCTACCTCCTAAATCTTGGGATTACAGATGAGTTCCACCTTGCCAGAATATTACGCAGTGCTGGAAATCAGACTCAGGGCTTCTATCTACATCACAAGCCCAAAAGCCTTTTCTAAGAGGCAGAAGAATCACAGTTTTAAGGTGAACCTGAGCCAGACCCTGTCTTTAAACAAAACAGACTTTTAAAAAAATAACAAAACAACAAAAAACAGCAGTGATCATTATGTTCTAGATAGCCACTTATCACACTAGCTGTTATAAAAATCAGATATGATTTTACTCATTAAAGTCTGATGACCCAAGATCCCTCTTTCTTTTATTTTATGGCCAATTCATCTAGAACTAGGCATACACTTGTTTGCCTATAAAGAATTGATCATATTACATCTCTCAGATATTATAGTAACATTGTGGCATATATATTAATTTCCTTTTGTTAGAATAAAAGTGTGGGGAGAAGGTGTGGTAACCTATGCCTGTAATCGTAGCACACAGGTATCACACAGCTAAAGAGTTTTAGGGAGCTAAAAGTCTGCCTGGGCTACCTAGTGAAACCCTGTCCCAAAACTCAAAACATGTATCCTCTCTCCACTGCCTACTAATGCATGCTGTTTGATGCCATTCCCTTCGGATGGATGGTCCTTGTTGCATAGCAAAGGATTTTGTGTTCCTTGGCAATTACTGTTGTTGTTTTTTTTTTTTTTTTTTTTTTTTTTTGTGGTGGGGTTTTTTTTTTTTTTCACATTAAAGGCAAAGCTTGCTGTTACTGTTTTGAGGCCATTGAGAAAAGAATTCATTCACATGAATATCATTTTTCATTTCAGAAATTCCATTACAGAAACCTCCTTCTTGGAGAGCATGATGTCCCTTTGACATGTATTGAGCAGATTGTGACAGGTATGTGGTATTCTGCAGGTGCTCTCTCTAAAAGTTGTAGCTGAATGTGATGGCTGCACTTAGGAGGTGAGGCAGAAGTCTCACTTGAGTGCCAAGCTCAAGGCTATCCTGGGAAGCACAGTGAGACCACTTCATAAAATGAAATGTCTCTAAAAGTTGATTGAAATCCTGAAGTATTCCTTGAAGGGCCATCATCCCAAGTATTTGTGTTGGAACTTTATTTCTGTAGAGTTAATTTTACATTTATTCCTTTGTAAGTCCCAAGAACTCAACAGAGAAGTCAAGAAATTCTTGTAAAATGGAGATAAGATTTTTTAATTTATAAGTTGTGGTCTTTTTTTAATTAAAAATTCAACCATTAAATGTATCATTGCAAAGGTCCTCTAAAATATCACCAGAATCATAGAACTAGCCCTCCAAAGTTCTAGGAGCCACAGGTGGATATGAAAAGCCAGGAAGTAGTGTCCAGCAATAGGATCTGCTCCTGGAGTGGGGCCTGCTCCAGGAGTGGAGTGTGCTCCGGCAGTGGGGTGTGCTCCGGGGAGTGGAGTGTGCTCCGGCAGTGGGGTGTGCTCCTGGAGTGGGGTTTGCTCCGGCAGTGGGGTCTGCTCCAGGAGTGGGGTGTGCTCCAGGAGTGGGGTCTGCTCCAGGAGTGGGGTCTGCTCCAGGAGTGGGGTGTGCTCCAGGAGTGGGGTCTGCTCCGGCAGTGGGGTGTGCTCCAGGAGTGGTGCTTCAGTGCTGGTCACTGCTGGAAAGTTGTTTAAGGATCTAAAGAGCATCAGGAATGAACGTTGTCACATTCCCACCCCACTATTTTTTCTTCTTCAGTGAATGACCACAAGAGGAAGCAGAAAGTCCTAGGTCCCAACCAGAAGCTGAAATTTAATCCAACAGAGTTAATAATTTATTGTAAAGATTTCCGAATTGTCAGGTTTCGCTTCGATGAATCGGGTCCTGAAAGTGCCAAAAAGGTAATGCTGCTAAGCTTTATCAAATTCCGAATTCTGTACTATCTTACTGTTTTTAGTTATTTGGGAGTTGTTTTTAAATAAGTATTTTTTATTTCATTTATGTGTGGTTATCAGAGGAGCAATTGCTGTAATTGGGTCTCTTCCCACCATGTGAATCCCAAGGATAAAACTCTGAGTCCTGAGGCTAGGCTGGAAGTTCCTTTCCCTGCTGAAGCCCCTCCTCGACTTGCATACATTTCTTAATTGCTCAGATGTTTAGGGTTACAGCCAAGAATATTAAGGGAACTATTTTCTTGTATTAGTTTATAGCTACTTTAAAGTAATCTATGTATTTTTATTAGCTACTAAAATATTAAAGATTCATATAGAAATAAGCATATTTTCTACTTTTTGACTGTGCTTGCCAGTTTCTTTCTTGGTTTAAAAATATGTTGAAAACTTGGAGATCTATCTGCTATAATTGCAACTAGTGAGGCTTTTAATTTAGTACTTTGTGAACTTTGTGAACAAAGTGAAAGCTAGACTCTGGCTTCATAAGGATTGGGCAAATGTGTAGTTGTGGAAGGGGCCTAATGCTTATTAGTGGTTTAAAGAAACCTTAATGATCTACTCCAAATGACTTGACAGATTTTGTTGACCCCTCCTGGAAGGCACCGCCCTCCCTGTGGAGTTGGGGGGGGGGATGGAATGGGAGGGTGGTTGGGAAGCATGGGAGGGAGAGAAGGAGGGAGAGAAAGAGAGGGAACGGAGATCAATATGTATAATAAGAAAAAAAATAAATAAAACAAACAAAAAGAAACCTTAATGAATGAATTTTATCCTGCAGAGGCAACTCAAAACAAGACACTTTTTAATTGACTTATTTCTCCCTCAATTTCCAGGGAATGTTTAATATTTACTTTTGCAGAAAAGTCAAGAGCAGACGCCATTTCTTTGGTTCCTTATTTTAGCTTTGCAATAGGATGAAGCTGGTAGATTACCTGCCTCTCTGTTTGGTATGATGCAGAAGATGCAGAAAGATACAAGAATTCCTGTGAGGAAAGCCTGCTTCCCTGTAGTAGGGACAGGACAGCAGCGTCCTAATAGACTACAATTGAAGCAGTGCTAGCCTACCAAGGGTGCAGTCAAATTGTTGCCAGTTAAGGCTGTCAGAAATATCTTAAGGCAGCTAGCTGTCTTCATATCCTTTGTTGAGGAGGTGGTAGATTTGTCTTTAGAACCAGAGCCAGCAGTTTCTCCATTGGAAGGCAAACTTGAGATGGGTATCTAAAAATGCATGACTGCAGGGACTGGAGCAGAGTGACAGTAGTGTGTCTGAGATAATGTTTTTATCTGCAGTCGACATAACCATCCCATAAACATTCAGCTTGATAACTTTAGGCTCCTTTAGTGGTTGGGTTCTTAGAAGTGAATAGGTACAACACCTCAAATAAAATATTTAGCCAGGTCACTTTCTCAGACTTAAATACATACTTGTAATGTCATTGACCAAGGAAGTTAGAACCTACCTATGAAAACTGTATCACCGTGATGTGCCACTTGTTGACAGCAGGGATACCGCAATACTTACGAAATTGAGTTAATAGAGTGTTTTACCTAAGAAATCTAGAGTTGGCCCAATTTTCTTTCAGAAAGTTTAAAGCTCTTCCCCTCTTACTGTATTTTTTTCAGATGACATATTCAGTGAATGGAAGTCATAATTACCTGGTGTTGTAGCATACTTGCTGATTATGTTTGGTGTGCATTCTGTGAGGAAGGTTTCATTTTTCAGTTGTTCACATTCTTCTTGGGTGTCCTAGGTAGGGTTTCTATTAAACACCATGACCAAGAACAAGTTGGGAAGGAAAGGGTTTATTTGGCTTATACTTACATATCAGAGTACCATCACTGAAGGAAGTCAGGACAGGAACTCAAGCAGGGTAGGAACCTGGAGGTGGGAGCTGATGCAGAGGCCATGGAGGGATGCTGCTTACTGGCTTTCTCAGTCTGCTTTCTTTCAGAGTCCAGGACCAACAGCCCAGGAATGGCATACCCACAGTGGTCTGGACCCTCCCCCCACCAATCACTAATTAACAAAATATCCTACAGACTTATCTACAAGCTGATCTTATGGAGGCGTTTTCTAAATTTAGGTTCCTTCCTCTCAGATGACTTAGCTTGGGTCAACTTGACATAAACTAGTCAGCACTGGATGGCAGGGAGGGTGTCATTGGATAACTCCTTCACAATGTGCTAGGTTTTCAAGATAGAAAAGAAGGGCAGGCTGTGGCTTCTTTCCTGAAAGAGTGCAAGTCTAGTCAAGAGGAAGCAGGGACAGATAAATGTGAAGGAACAGTCACAGTGGCAGCGTGACAGATGTGCTAGTCACCAACTGAACAAAGCACATTGTGCGTCAAAACCAAGCCTCTGACAATTCCTTTCCCAGTGTCTTACAAGAAAAAGCATCGCTGGGGCCTCAAAAAAGTACTCCTTGTCTTCTTTTCAGTAATGAGAAAGGAAGCTGTGGAAATAAAACAGAAGAAACTTCCCAATTTACATGTTTTAAATACAAAGTTATATGTGGCTGGCAAAACTCACTGGCTTTCTAAATTTCAAATGAAGTTTTTTGTGTCAGTTCAGTAGCAGCTGACCCCATAGCATACATATATCTATGGCCCTAGTTACTGGTAGACTGAGACCAGAGGATCTTGAGCTCAAGGTCAGCCGGTGCTACAAACATGAGGTTCCACCTCTGAAAAACCAACGAATCCTGCAATTATGACTGTGTACACCCAATGACAGTGAAGCAGGAGGATTGCCTGAACTCAGCCAGGAGTTCAAGGCTGGCATAAGCAACACAGTGACACCCTGTCTTTTTTAGAACAGTCACAGTGAGCATGAATTGGGAAGTAAAGGCTCAGTTTATTTGCTTCCTGAGGTCTTTAATGTTAAGTTGCCTATGGAAAAATGCCTTGGTTTTTGTAAGTTCTTCTAAGAGGATCAGCTATACACTTGGAATTCTGCAATGCATGACTGTGGATTGTTTTTGAAACACTGAAAGCATTTCTGTTTTTTGTTTGAAACAAGAGTGCCCAGAATACTAGATTGGCTCACTGGTTCACATTCTTGTTAAATATTGCTCTAACACTGTCTGTCTAATTGGCTCTTTTTCAGTTGTGTCATGACTAAATTAGGTTAGTTTGTGCAACTGTATCACAGTGCTCTTCATCTTTACTATCTGTGCTCTGGTGGGAAATATGGTATTTGGTGAAGGTCTATCCAAAGAAAGGAGCTTAGTGATACAGAATTGGACATTGTCCTCATAGAAACTTTGAACCACCATTTCCTTTTGATGGACCCTTGCTCAAAACTAAGGTGGAAAAAAGTTTGAAAAGATTTTTTTTAATTGAAATAGCTTCAGATTACTTTTAATGATTTATCATTTTAAAAATATATGGGTAGGTGGACGGATGGTAATTGAATTAAATATCTGATGTCTCTTTTATTTTCAGTTAGAAATGAATTTCATTCATCTAGTTCAACAGCAGAGCTGGAGAGATGGCTCAGTAGTTCAAGATTATCTCTGCTCTTAGAGCAGACCTGAGTTCAGTTCTCAGAACCCTTAACAGGCAGCTCATAACTACCTGGAACTCCAGCTCCAGGGGATCTCATGCTCTCTTCTAGTCTTTGTGGACATTTTAGGCACACACACATATACAGTTAAAAAACAAACCAAAGAATAAGGTTGGCAAGCCAGGCATAGTTGTATATACCTGTAATTCCAGAATTTGGGAGGCTGAGACAGAATAATACTGAATTCAAAGTCAACTTGAACTACATAGTAAAACACTTTAAAAAACAAAAATCAAAACAACAGACCAAAACCAGTCAATGTTGACTGTGATTGTATAGGCCAAAGGTCAACCTCAGGAACTATCCACCTTGTTTTTGAAACAAGGTATCTCACTGGCTTGGAGCTTGCTGTCAAGTAGTGGGCTAGGTTGGCTGGCCAGTGAGCCTTAAGGAGGTGCCTGTCTCCCCCTCTGCACATCTGAGATGATAAGTACACATTACTGCCCCTATTTCTCTCTCTCTCTCTCCCTCTCCCTCTCCCTCTCCCCCTCCCCTTCCCCTTCCCCTCCCCCTCCCTCTCTCTCGTTTGTGTGTGTATGTTGGAGATAAGTTTTCTCAGTGTAGCCCTGGCTGTCCTGGAACTTGCTCTGTAGACCTGGCTGGCCTCAAACTCAAAGATCTACCTGCCTCTGCCTCCGGAGTGCTAGGATCAAAGATGTGTACCACCATCTGCCTCCAACTCTTACTGTGGTTCTGGAGATCAAATTCAGGGCATTATGTTTATGCAGTAAACATTGTATGGACTAGTCTTACTAGCCCTGGTTCCTGGTTTCAGTTGTTTTGGCTGGCCTTGATCTCACCAGGCTGGCTTGAAAGTGGTAATCCTGTCTCGGTCTTCCATATGCTGGTAGGATCCCAGATGTGAGTACACCTGGCTTGGGCTGTCATTTTTGCCTGAAACCTGATACCTCCTTGGTCTTAAGCCAAGGTAGGGGACTTGATTTGCTTGCAGATGTGTTCATCATACCTTGGATTTGATGTCTCCAGTGCTGTGCTTGAACTGGAAGATAAATCAACTGTGGGTTTTCCCTTTTAAAAATTATTAATTAGGGAATATCTGTATAATAGAATAAATTTACATGCAAACAAGATCTTAAAAAGACTTTCAAAAGTCTCTTACAAGTAGAAGCCAGGAATTTGGACTTGGGCTTTTAAAACAGTGTGTTGGGGGAAATGCAAAACAAAAGACATTTAGCTTTCTCTCTTCTTTGGGTGTTCCACAGAAACAACATGACTCTCTAGATGCGCAAGTGTACATATATATGCCTGCACCATACAACAGCTCATGCATGCTTGTAGTCACGCTTCTGAACAGCAAATTCAATCTGAAATGCAGGCTCCCTTTCTTTTTAGAAAAGCCGCTGTCCTGGAAGTCATTGAACCAAACT